GGGATCTAAGCTCCTAGGAAAGGCATCAGTAAGGGAAGCTGGGGAAAGCAGCAAAATAGATATTTTGCTAACAGTCATGGGTGGGGGCGGGGTGAGGATCCATTCCTGTTCTGAAGAAGATTCATTTCTCTTTCCAATGCTTCTCTGACAGCAATCATAATGAGGAATGATAATAATAATAACAACAATAATAATAATAAGCCTGTAGAGAGTCAATGTGGCAACTCACTGCTCTTATAAATGCTATAGCCACAGCTACTGAAGGTTCAGAAAAGTAAGTTCTTGCCACCAAAGTCCTTAGCACCATCAAGTGACTCAACATTAGAAACCAATAAAATTATAACAGTGGAAATGGCATTTAAGAAGAGACGTTACCATCTGCTTTGCCACTGCACCCTAAGGACCATTGGACATTGCCATCTGACTTGCAATTAAAATATGTGTTGTCTCCCCCATAAGAGCAGGAACTGTCTTACTTCTCTATTTGTATCTCCAGAACATAATAAGCACTTAACAAAGTCACTCATTGGTCTGCCTTTTCCTATTTACACCACAGACTCATCATTATTCCATTACATTCACGTACAATTTGTTCGTCCATTCCCTAGTTAATGAGATCCATGGTTCTTAGAAACAACATTTCCTCAAAGTGCTGAGAGTTGTACAGATATACCAGGTGTGCTGTGTTATTGCCAACTCCAGGCAGAATTGTTCAGTGCTCACAGCCGTGAAGTTAAAGCGACAAATGTATGTAAGGAACTGAGCACATTCCTTTCCATCAGATGGCCTGTTTTATTCCCTCTCGAAGGTACACTTGCTAGGAATTTGAAGCTGTTCCATTCAGTTAATTAAATGGTCAGGTATGAGACCATCTGACTGCTTAAAGATGGTGTTGGAGAGAGGCAACATGGCTTGGTTGATGAGAATCAGACTCAGATTAAAAAAAAAAAACTAACAAGTCCTACCTATCACATACTACCTTGTGACCCCTGGAAAAGCCCCTTAACCTCTCGTTATAACAATAAACACTCTTAAGACCATAAATAAGATGCAAATAATGTGTTAATCTGTCTTGATGGAGGTAGTAGATGACCAAGATAAGTAAGGTAAGAGAAAGAGAGGACCTAGCTGTCCTCGATGAATTCAAGTCACTGCATCCAAATGGCACATCCTCATTTACTAAAAAAAAAAAAAAAATCTGGCAGGTGTGATTGCTGAGCAACTGTTATTGATATTTGAAAACATAATTTGAAATGTAAGAGGTAATCCAAGGTTGAAAAAGGGTAAATGTACTGGTTTTTTTAAAAAAAGAGAACTTTATATGCCAACTTTACGAGTCATTGAATCTGATTACAATTCTAGGGACCACTTTCTAGAATGTATCTTTAAAAAAATGGTCACCAAACATCTAGAGAGAAAATTATTAATTACAAAGAGTAAGTAAGGCTACATTGGGACTAATTTCATTTCCTTTTTGGTAGGATGGCTAAACTAGTAGATGAGGGAAAAGAGGTAGATAATACTTTACCTAAATTTTAGCAAAGCTCTTTTTTTAATCTTATTTTATTTTTTCAATTAACAAGCATTTATTTTCTCTTTCCTACTTCTTCTCCCCCCAATTCAAAAGGAAAATAAAACCCTTGTGACAAATATGCAAGTAAAACAAAATAAATTCCCACAATTTCCATGTCCAAAAATGTGTGTCACATTCTACGTCTTAAGTCCTCTGGAATCCTGATTGGTCATTGTGCTCATCAGAGTTCCTCTGGCCTTCAAATTTAGTTGTCTTTATAATGTTGATGTCATTGTATATTTTCCACCTGATTCTATCAACTTTATTCTGCATTGTTTCATATAAGTATTTCCATCAATTTCTAAGTTTCTTATAGCACAATAGCATTCCATTATACTAATGTCATAACTTGTTCAGCCATTCCCCAATTAATAGATACCTCCTTAGGTTCCAATTGTTTCCCACTACAAAAAGAGCTGCTATAAATATTTTAGTACATAGGAATTCTTTTCTTCTTTCTTTGATTTCTTTGGGATACTTAGTCATATCAGGGGTCTTTGGGGGCAGCATGGCTTTTAATAAAGCCTTTCATACTACTGTTCTGGTGGAGAAGATGGAAAGATATGATTTAGATGATAATATAATCAGACAGATCAGGTCTGATTATATGACTGTACTGAAAAAGTAGTTGTTTTTGCTCCAATGTCAAGGTGTCTAGAGGCCTCTAGTGGATCAGTCCAGGGATCTGTGCTTGGTCCTGTGTTGTTTAACATTATCAATTACTTGGCTAAAGGCAGAGATGACATAGTCATCAAATTTTCCAATGACATGGAGTAGGGAAGGATAGTTAATATACTGAATTACAGAGGAAGAATCCAAAATAATCTTCACAGGCTAAAGCAGGTAAACTATGTCTCATGGGCCAAACCAGCCCACTGCTAATAATGATTTTAAATTTTTAAATACAATAAAGCTTTATTTACAAATGTAAAAACCATTCTTAGCTCATATTGCATACAAAAACAGGCAGTGAGCAGGATTTGTTCCACACACATAGTTTGCCAATCCCTGGGCTACAGAATTTGAACTGATCTAATGAGATGAAATTCCATAGGGATAAATGCAAAGTTTTAAACCTGTGTACAAAATAAGATGGAGGAATCAGAGAAAGACAATAGATCTATGGGAAGGATTTATGACTAAACAAAAGATAGAGAGGATCATGGGAAGTATAATGGATAATTTTGATTACATGAAATTAAAAAAGGTTTTGGATAAATAAAACCAATGCAGCCAAAATTAGAAGGAAAGCAAGAAATTGGGGGAAAATTTTTTTTGGCATCAAGTTTCTCTGATAAAGATCTCATCTCTCAAATATAAAGGGAATTGAGTCAAATTTATAAAAAATAAGAACCATTCCTGAACTGATAAATGGTCAAAGTATACGAACAAGCAGTTTTCAGAAGAAGAAATTAAAGTTATCAATAATTATATGGAAAAAATGCTCTAAATCATTAATTAGAGAAATGGAAATTAAAACAACTCTGAGGTACCACCTCACATCTATCAGACTGCCTAATATGACAGAATAAGAAAATGAAAAATGCTGGAGGAGATGTGGAAAAATTGGGAAACTTGCCCTGTTGGTGGACTGGTGAACTGGTCCAACCATTCTGGAGGATAATTTAGAACCATGCCCAAAGGGCTATAAAACTATGTATACCCCTTGACCCAGCAGTACCACTACTAGGTCTGTGCCACAAAGAGATCAAAGAAAAAGGAAAAGGACCCACATATACCAAAATATTTATAGCGATTCTTTTTGTGGTAGCAAAGAACTGGAAATTGAGGTGATACCCATCAATTGGGGAATAGCTAAACAAGTTGTGGTATATGATTGTGAGGGAATATTATTGTGCTGTAAGAACTGATGAGAGGGGTAGCTAGGTGGAGCAGTGGATAGAGCACTGGCCCTGGATTCAGGAGGACCTGAGTTCAAATCTGCCCTCAGACACATAATACTCACTAGCTATGTGACTCTGGGCAAGTCACTTAACCCCAGTTGCCTCACCCAAACAAAAAGAAAAAAGAGAGAGAGAGAGAAATGATGAGGTGGTTGGTTTCAGAAAAACCTGGGAAAACCTATATGAATTGATGCAGAGTGAAATAAGCAGAATGAGATCATTGTACATAATAACAGCAATATTGAGATGAGAATTAACTGTGAAAGACATGACTACTCCGATCAATACTATGATCCAAGACAATTCAAAGGACTCATGATAAAAAAAATGCTATCCACCTCCAAAGAAAGAACTGTTGAACTTTGGGTACAAATTGAAGTAGTATAGTTTTTTCATTTTATTTTTCTTGCCTTTTTTTTTTGCAACATGGCTAATATGGAAATATGTTTTTGTTAATCTGTGATTTCTTATTACATTGCCCTTCTGTGATCCAGGGACTTTTTAAGTCTTACTAATGTTTTTAATTTTTACATCACAGATATTTCTGAGTATACTCTTCTCTAAGGAAGCCTCTCCCTCCATTAGCCCATGATGGATAAACACTTACAAATTCCTACTCTTAGTTTGTCTTTTTTCTTTTTAGACCCTATGCAGACCATCATCCTTCTGTTGGGACAACATTTCCTCATGGTGAACATGTTGCAATGAGCTAAATCACAATTTGTTTTATACTTATTACATGTTAGATAGCTATTGCCCCTGCTAAGGTTTCAGAAGATCCATCCAATCCCATGATGCTTTACAAACTACTCAGATCTCATCAACAAACTATCCTTTAGATTCGTGTTCTATTTCCCAGGTACAGGTAACAGTGCCAGCATGTTAGCCTGCTTTTGGCAGAATATGTCACAAAAGTAGCATCTCAATGCTCAAGGGGCTGGATGCAAGAGGTATGTAATTTAAAGGGCGCAGGGTCAGTTTTCAAAACATACAGAATGAATTACCAAACAAATATAAGACAAAGACAAGTGAAGTGTCCAAGGTTAGGAAGAACAAGTCCACAATATGAAGGTAATGGGATTCAAGAAGCAAACAGGAAATATGATTTAAAATTCAGAAATCCTTTGTCCAACTGGTCTTGCGCATGTGCCAAGATTTTACATGCAATTTGACATATGCCCTGTGGTAAGCATGCTCATGACTCCTTGTGCTCGTGACTCACTGTTCTAAAAAAGCTTGTGAGTGGCGGATGACTCCTAGTTACAACTAGTATTTCTTACATGAGAAGTCACATTGGCTCCTTCAGGAGTTTGCCTCTTTTCATCAGTTTTATTCTTATTTTATTAACTTCCATTTCAGAGGGTGACATTCTATGACTTTGTCCTCAAATTCCGGGGGTGCTCTCTAAGCCGAGCGTCACTGTCTGCAGGAATCACGTCATCTAACTTTGCGTTCCCTACCCTTCCTATGATCTTCTTAATATATAGCCTAGTCTGTTTTGATCTTTCCTTTACTCTCTCTAGGATTGCAATGGGCCGCCTCCTTGCGTTTCTCTTGGGACTGGTATTTGAAGCCTCTTCTGTGTTCGGAATTCCTTCCTGCTCAGCCGACGGACAAATTGCCTTATATCGTTCCTGCAACCTCACCCAAGTTCCCCAAGTGCCAAACACCACCATTAACCTGTTGTTAAGTTTTAACCACATCAGGGTAGTGAATGCCGCTTCATTCCCTCTATTGGAGAAGCTTCAGTTGCTAGAGCTAGGAACTCAGTACACTCCTCTGATAATCGAGAGAGAAGCTTTCAGAAACTTGCCCAAACTTACAGTATTGGATATTGGCCATAGTAACATTCAGTTTTTGCATACTGATGCTTTTCAAGGCTTGCCCAACTTGATTGAATTAAGGCTATTTTACTGTGGTTTCTCAGATTCCATTCTAAAAGATGGTTATTTTAGAAATTTAAGTTCTTTGGCTATATTGGATCTATCTAAAAATCATATCCAAAGTCTCCACCTTCATCCTTCTTTTAGAGATCTGGAATCTTTGGAATCCATAGACTTGTCTCTGAATGAAATATCGCTTGTATGTGAAAGAGATCTTGAGCCCCTCCAAGGGAAAAGATTCTCTTTGCTTAATCTTGCTTCCAATAGCCTCTACAGAAGCATCTCAGTCAACTGGGAAGAGTGCATGAATCCTTTCAAAAGTATGTTCCTTGAGATCCTGGATGTCTCAGACAATGGCTGGACAGTAGACATCATGCGAGACTTTGGTCGTGCTATCAATGCAACCAAGATTTCTTCTTTGCTTCTTGACTACCATGTCATGGGTGCAGGATTTGGTTTTCATAACCTAAAGGAACCTGACCAAGACACATTTGCTGCACTGGGCATGAGTTCAGTGATAAACATGGATATTTCACACGGCCACATCTTCTCCCTAAACTTTCATCTGTTTGAGACCCTCAAAGAGTTGAAAGTTTTAAGCATTTCACATAACAAGGTAAACAAGATTGCTAAAGAAGCATTTTATGGCCTTGACAGTCTCCAGGTTCTCAATCTGTCCTATAACTTGCTGGGAGAACTCTACCAATCTGATTTTTATGGACTGCATAAAGTTGCTTATATTGATCTACAAAGAAATCATATTGGGATGATTCAGGAGAAGACATTCAAACATTTGAAAAATTTAGAAACTTTGGATCTTCGTGATAATGCTATTAAAACAGTTAATTTTCTTCCCAATTTAAATACGAGCTTCCTAAGTGGCAATAAATTGGTAGATTTTCAAAATGTCCACATAATTGCTGAATTCCTTGATTTAGCACAAAACAGGTTGGAAAATCTGAATGATCTTTATACTCTTCTCCAGATTCCAGGTCTGAAGTTTCTCATTTTAAATCAAAATCGATTTTCCTTTTGTCACCAACAGTATGGTCCTTCAAAGAACCATACCATAGAGCAGCTTTATCTTTCAGAAAATATGCTGCAACTGGTCTGGCAAGCAGGATCATGTTGGGATGTGTTTAAAAGACTTCCTTATCTTAAAGTCCTCTTCCTGAATAATAATTACCTTGATTTCCTTCCACCTGGTGTTTTCAGTGATCTGACTGTGTTACAAATCCTTAGCCTGGATGGCAACAGGCTGACCTCTCTATCTCCTGGTGTTCTACCTGAAAATTTAAGAGTCTTGCTTTTATCCCACAACCACCTGCTATCCCCTGACCCTACCATATTTGCATCACTGAGCCACCTAGCTATAACCCACAACAAATATATCTGTGAGTGTGAAACCAGAAATTTTATCCTTTGGCTGAACCAAACCAATGTCACCATGTTGGGGTCCCCTGAGGATGTCTACTGCACATACCCTGACTCATTCTCTGGGGTCTCACTCTATTCAATTTCCACAGAGGGCTGTGATGAAGAGGAAGCCCTAAAATTAATTAATTTTTCACTTTTCATCTTCTTCACCACTACCTTGACTCTATTCCTCACAGCAGTTATGATGTTCACAAAATTCCGTGGGCACTGTTTTTCCCTCTGGCATAAGATGGTCCTGAGACTGTCATTCAAAAACCATCCCCAGGGAGTAGAAGAGGACCAGCACAAATATGATGCATATTTGTGCTTCAGTAATAAAGACTTTGGATGGGTCCAGAATGCACTCCTCAATCACTTGGACTCCCGGTACAATGCTGAAAATAGATTTAACCTGTGTTTTGAGGAAAGGGACTTCCTCCCAGGAGAGGACCACATCAGCAACATCCAGGACGCCATTTGGAGTAGCAGGAAGACTATTTGCATTGTGACGAGGCATTTCCTCAAAGATGGTTGGTGCATTGAAGCTTTCAATTTCGCCCAGAGCAGATACTTCTCTGATCTTAAAGACGTCCTTATCATGGTGGTAGCTGGATCCCTCTCCCAGTATCAGTTGATGAAATACCCACCTATTCGAGTCTTTGTGCAGAGGCAACCATACCTGAGGTGGCCTGAGGACCTTCAGGATGTTGGCTGGTTCTTAAATAAACTCTCCCAATGCATACTCACCAAAAAAGAAGAAAAGAAGAAATCTAACAACATCCCCTTGCAAACTGTAGCAACCATATCCTAGCCAAAGAAGACATTTCAACCTCAACTCCTGCCAGAAGTTATTCTTCTCATTATATTTGCATTACATATGTCTGGCTGTTTCTTTGGAAGCAGCCAGTTGACAGAATAGATAGTATGCTAGATTGGGAGTTAGATTGAGTTCCTGTCTCTGACCTTGGATGGCTGTGAGACCTTGGGCAAGTTGCTTTACCTCTTCCAGATCCAGCTTCCTCATCTGTCAAATGAGGATGATCATATAAAGCCTACCTCACAGGATTATTGTGAGGATCCAATGAGATAATTTCTATAAAGCAATTTGTAAACCTTAAAATGCTAGATCAATGTTAGTTCTCATTATTATTCATTGGATTTTTCTGCAAAGTAAAGAGAGAAACCTTCTGTTTTTCATATTCATACAATGATTTGCTATGCTGACTTAAAAATGAAAATTAATGATTTAGAAAATTGGAATTGACCCTAAAAACCAGACCAAGACTTAGAGTGCCCTCATTCTCCAATACCATCCTCTAGGACACAGCATTAATGGCCTTGCATGAATTTTTCTCTTGGTGTCACATACACTATGCTAAGAATGAGGAGGGAAGCTTGGAAAAGGGAACAAATGAGTGATGCTCTTGCATCAATATTCAGTTTTGTGGAACTGGTGGCATTCCTTGTTGCTAGGCTCCCACAACAAGAGGAGAGGAGAGGAATGGAGGGGAGAGTAACAGAGGGGATAGAGGAAGGGGCAGAGGAGGGGAGTGAAGGAGATGGAGGAGGTAAGGGAGGGGAGGGCAAGGGAGGAGAAGGGAGGAGAAGGCAGGAGAAGAGAAGAGAGGATCTTCTTTCTTTACTTTCTAATCCTGTTTTATTTTCAGCAGAATGGTGCCTCGCTTGACATGGTGTTAAGCACACCATTGTCTGAGCCACCAATCTCAAGCAAGATTGTAGATCTAAAAGGAGATGGAATGGAATAGTTAGGTGTTTAGATTGCCATATTTTTCTCCTTACTACAGTGGTACTATATAGGTTTTCTGGCACATTTCCTTCAAAGAAAAGGTGACTGTAAGACTCACTTGGGAAATCTGTCATACATCATCATTATCATGAACATCAAACCTTTTTAGAGTACCATCTATAGATTAGGCACAGGGAACACAAAGAGACAGAAAATATGTCTTTGAATGTAGATGGGGGAAAATGCATATATTATATACATGTGTGTGTGTGTGTGTACATGTGTATATGTATATACATGTATATGTGTATGTGTATATATATGTGTGTGTGTATATATATTTATATATATATATATATATATATATAGTAATCAATGCCAAGGAGTCAGTGAGTGGTGTAAGCAACAAATGCCAAAGATGTTCGGAAGAGTAAAGAATCACTGAGGGCCGTGGTAGTTTAGGAGAGGATTTTTTTGAGGTGTTAGAACTGAAGTTGGGTCTCGAAAGAAGGTTGGAACTTAGACTGGTGGACATGACCAGAGAAGGAAACCAGCCTGAGTCAAGGTGTGATGGTGGGAAAGGACAGCTAGAGTAAGGTTCATTACAAAGGGGTAGTCAGAGGAGCAGGTTAAAATCCACCTTTGACATTTATACTTGCAGCCACTGGGCCTCAGTTTCCTCATGTGTAAAATCATGGAGTTAGACTCTGAGATTCCTTCCAAGTCTAGATCTATGCTCTTATGGCGTGATGCTTTCCGAAAGTTAACCTTCACCGCACCTACAGTCATTGCTCTTCATTGACAATGGGAACAACCAATTTGAGGCAGGGAGCCCTCAATCAGCATGAAGTAATTTTCAGAGCTATGGATATAGCCATGTTTCCCAACCAATACTCAGACCTTACCTCTCACTTGCTCTCAGGTCATATTCTTTCTAAGTGCAATTTAAGGTCTGGAATTGGAAAGGTGAAATCACAGTGTTTATATCAACAAGACTCAAGGTCAAAACCACTGGACACTGCTTACAGAAGAACTTCCAAGGAAGATCTGAGAGAAATTAAACTAGGGAAAGGAAAGAATTTGCCTCCCTTTGAATTTCCAAATTTCAATTCTGAGCTGAAGTGCTATCATAGTGATAAGAATTGTATCTTTGGTGCTGCTTTCAGGAATTAGGCCAGTGCCTAAAGTAAGTAGATGCTCAGTTAACATGCTGAAGGTGTTGACTGATTATGTCACACTACAAATTTTTTTAACTTCATTAGTCTATTATCAATAGTTCTTTGCATGACGCAGTTGTGCTGCTCGATTTTAAGGTGGGATGCTGCATAGCATAGTGTCAGGTGAGACCTGAGTTTAAAACCTTTCTCGGATACCTCCTAGCTCAATATCCCTTGGCAAGTAAGTGCACCCTGCTCAGCCTCAGTTTCCTAAAGGCGTGGGTTGGATGCAGCATCCTCTAAGATCACTTCTAGTTTTAAATCTATTATTGTAGAATGCGGGTTATTCTTCAGGCCAGGCAATTAGTCCTAAACCTTTCCTCTCCAAGCTCAGAATCTCATTTAGAAGGGACCTCAGTGGGCCCTAGTCTAACTCATACAAGAACAAGAATTCTTTCCTACAACCTACCCCATCTTTTTGCATGAGGCCTTCCCTGATTGCCCTTTTGTATCTGTTTTCTATATATTTTTATATCTACCTACTCATGAATTTTATATATTTGTTGCTGTTCAGTCATTTTCAGTTGCTTCTGGCTCTTTGTGATGCCATTTGGGGTTTTCTTGGCAAAGATACTGGAGTGGTTTGCTATTTCCTTCTTCAACTCATTTTACAGATGAGGAAACTGAGGCAAACAGGGTTAAGTGACTTGCCCAGGACCACACAGCTAGCAAGTGTCTGAGGCTGGATTTGAATTCGTGAAGATGAGTCTTCCTTATTCCAGGCCTGGCACTCTAACCATTGTACCACCTAGCTGCTCTGTTTTATGTATACCTATATACATACAGGTAGTTTCTCCTGTTACACTGTAAGCTGCGTGAAGGCAGGGACTGTCTCGCTCTTGTCTTTGTGTCACCAGTGCCTAGTACAATGCTCAGCTCATGATGAGTAATCAAGTGGAACAGTAGATAGTGCAGTGGACCCGATGTCAGGAAGACCTGAGTCCAAGTCCTAAGGTACAGCTTCAAACACTGAAAAACTATGTGGCCTCAGGCAAGTCACCTAACCTCTGTCAGTCTCAGTTTCCTCATCTGTCAAATGAAGCTAATAATAGCATGTACCTCCCAAGGCTATTGTGAGGATAAAATCAGATAATATCTGTAAAGCTCTTTGCAAACTTTAAAAGGCTATATAAATGCTAGCTATTATTCACAATAACAATAAATGATGGATGGATGGATGGATGGATGGGTGGGTGGATGGGTGGTTGGGTGGGTGGCCATCCAGCTTTTGCTGAAAGCAGAACAATTCTGCTTTCTTTTACCCTGGCACCTAAGGTCCTTGACAGTCAGGCTCCAAGCTACTTTTCCCATTTTATTTTGCATTACTCTGCTTCACATGCTACATTCCGGCCAAACTGCATCATTAGCAGCTCCCCTACTCAACGTTTGACCTCTGATCTCTGTATGGTCACTCAAGACAACCTTCCTCCCCACTTAGGTTAGCACTTCTGTGCAAAAGACTGAAGGATCAGATGACCAAGGTTCAGCAACTCTGGAGTAGAACTTAGGGCTCACCAAGTCACCCAACATGTTCTTTGAAGTGTGTTTTACACTTTGCTCTTTAAGGCAGACCTGGCTTTGACTGTGCAGAGACAGGTCTTTGGTTAGAAGTCTCGAATAGCCCCTTTCCCTGACATAGTACTTTACATCTGCAATATGTAATTGTAGATTGTAAATGTAAAGTGCACATTTCTTTGCACTGACATCATAGGTTACATCTGCAAAGCCTCCCAAACTCCCCGAGCTAGGCTACAGATTAATTGGAGATGAGGTCAACTGATTAACCCTAAAGAGTCATTAGTATTTCAGGTGCTCCTATAGGCCCCACCAGGCAAAAAGCCCTGGGTTGTACCATGGGCCCTGAAGAAGACCATTTCTTTTTATTATCTGTCTCCTAGCTTTTCCTCTAGAAACCAACTGCCCTCTCCTCCTTGGCACCTCCTCATATGCAACGTGCAGAGTTACAACAGGCTTCCCATCTCTGTTACCCTCTCTCATCCCCAAGCAGTCATCAATTCCAGGTACAAGGTGTTCATGGGAAAACACAGATGAATCAAATCTTTGGCTTTGGAATTACAAGCATTTTCAGTTCCAAGAAGTGACTTGGTAGAAAGAACACTGGACTGGGATTTGAGCAGCATGAAAATGCAGTAATTGTTGATCTCTGTTCTTCATGTGCAAAATACCCCCACTTATTTAACAGAGATGCTGTGGAAAGAGAATGAGATAATAACCATCAAAGCCCTTGGAAAAAAATTTTTTAATGCTCTACAAAGTAAAAAGGGTAATTATTTTTTCTTAGTCATTATTTTCATTTGGCCACTAAGAAAGAAAACTGACCTAGCAAAAAATATGTCCTATGTGGTGGTCTTTGCCATATCATCTCATTCATTTTGTCACCTTTATAGAGCATCATTCCCATTTAATAGATGGGAAAATTGAGACCTTTAGGAGGGAAGTGGCTGTGCTAGGAAGAAAACATATCACATGCTACAGCATCATAGGATCGTGATCTTAGATTTAAAACTGGAATAGACCAAAGAGGTCATCTAGCTCAACTCCATTTTACAAAAGAAACTGAGGCCTGGAGAGACAAAGGGATGCAGTAAGGAGCAAAGCTAGGATTTGAATCCAGTTCCTTGGACTCCAGATCTAGCCCTCTTTCAACTGCTCTGTCCTCCTTGACTACAGGACCTGCCGCAGCCATTCCATTTGGTTTCTTAAGTAGTTCAATTAACTCTGTTTCCAAGCTAGTTCTCAGTGTTTGTCAAGTGGATCCTCTATACTGATGTTGACAGCAACTCTCTGATGCCTTATTAATAGTAGTCAATAGCCAACAAACATTCATTAAGCACTATGTGCCAGGCACTGTACTAAATGCTAAGGATGCAAATACAGACAGTCCATGCCCTCAAGGAGCTTACAATCTAATGATGGAAGACAAAACACACTATTAAATGGTTTCTTATAACTTGCTATATTCAAAACATGTCATTACCCTCCATCCAACCTGGTGGTGAGCTACTCTGATATTAACTAGGCTGGTCCTCCAATTAAACAGCAACTTCATTTGTTGAACAGTGT